GTCCAGGTGGGACCCGATTACCCAGGACCCGACCGGGTCGGAAATTCTGTTGTTGACCCTCGACAGAAAGGCTTCTGTTTGATTGTCATTGGGTCTCGGGTATAACAACTGTAGATACCAGAGATGACAATCAAACAGGACCCAACCCGGACCAGAGGGTCAACGATCGGGTCGGGTCCCGGGTAATAGGGTCCCACCTGGACCTGTGAAGACCTCTACCACAGGTTTACTATGAGTAGTAGAGACGACGGGCCATAATAACACACTACTGCATGAGTGGACCCAACCAAGGCTCAGCATAGCCTATAGCATATTTATTTTATGCTAATTAGGTGAATTTATTGTCTTATAGAAGACCTAGCCAACATATAAAATACCCATTTGTTAAGCAGAAGAGCAACTTGGCTGATAAACATTTTGTCACTCGGGGGGGTCTAGACAGGTACGGGTCGGGCCTTGGTCTGGTTATTCTCGGGGCCGTGTCCCCCTTTTTGAAAACTTATCAGGTCCGGGTCTGATTGTCCTCGGGTCCGGGTCCAGCTTTTTGGACCCAAGAAGACCTCTAGCCTGCGGAACATTGGATCACCCCGAGCTGCTGTGATCATCTACATTCTGGCAGTATGTGTGTTGTGGGGAGAGAGAGAGACAGAGAGAGGAGACAGAGACACAGAGACAGAGAGACAGAGACAGAGAGAGAGACAGAGAGAGTCTGAGAGACAGAGAGAGAGAGAGAGAGAGAGAGTGTGTCTGAGAGACAGTGGGAGGGTGTGGCAAACCTTCCTGCAGCACAGCTAATCCCAAATTGAAACAAAGTTGTCCTTCCTTGAGAGGAAACACAGAGAGAGAGAAAGCGGGGGAGAGAGAGAGAGGGACAGAGAGAGAGAGAGGGGGACAGAGAGAGAGAGAGAGAGAGAGGGGGACAGAGAGAGAGAGAGACACAGAGAGAGAGAGGGACAGAGAGAGAGAGAGAGAGAGACAGAGAGAGAGAGGGACAGAGAGAGAGAGAGAGAGGGACAGAGAGAGAGAGAGGGACAGAGAGAGAGAGAGAGAGAGAGAGAGAGGGACAGAGAGAGAGAGAGAGGGACAGAGAGAGAGCGAGAGGGACAGAGAGAGAGAGCGAGAGGGACAGAGAGAGAGAGCGACAGAGAGAGAGAGGGACAGAGAGAGAGAGGGACAGAGAGAGAATGAGAGGGACAGAGAGAGAGCGAGAGCGAGAGAGAGTGATAACTCATCTCCCATCCGAGGAGCACGATGCCAGTCTTATGACTTGCGGATGCAGTGTTGGCGATGGGAGAACAGCTTCATTATATGGTGAACCAGGGGTGAAGGAGGGGATAATATATTTGATTTAGTCAATTTACAGTAATGAAGAGAGGCACAACCTTGGTTTAGGGAATGAGCCGACAACACATCCATGTGATGTGCAGCATGAGAGGCCAAACACACCCATGTGAACTCTGTCGTAAAACACAGCAAACCGCTTTTGGAATGGAAAACAAAACAAGCCTTTGTTATTGGACAAATTAAAGGTAGGTCCCTCCCCGTTTTGACCTGTTTGCTTCCATTTCGTACCTAGTGAATACGCCCCTGTTGCGTTTTCATCCTGTCTCAATCTACAAGCCAAAACTATAAAAAGTGTTATGTCGTTTGTCTCTTTCCATAATAGTCCATGGAGCCATGGGTTGCCTACAGGGGAAAGTAGAGGCACACCACTGGAAACAGTTTCTTAGCTGTTTTCTTTGTAATTATTAGCCATATATACTGTATATGAGTTGGAGACCGCCGGCAGCAAGACAAACCCAGGAAACAGCCTAGGGGTGCATCCCAAATGGCACCCTACTCACAATATAGTGCACTACATTTGACCAGGGTCCACAGGGAATAGGGTGCCATTTGAGACGCATCCTAGTTGTTCCATCTCCATGCAGGGAGAAAACAAATCCTCCCACAGTGACAGCAGGGTGGGTGGGTGAGAGCAGGGATGTCTTGTGTCTGTCTGCGTCTGTGCGGAGTGGCAAACTGTCAGCTTGGACCAGACGACGACACTGGAAGGGCTTGGAAAGACCACAAAAACAACAGGAAGAGTAATTTCCAAGACAAAAACAGTCTGTGGAACAATTGACATGGCTCGCCTTGAGAAAAAATATAAAGAGAGAAAAAAAAACTCCTGACAGTCGGTGACACTTAGTGGCTCAAATTAGACCTGGTTTGGTGTTATGAACTAGTTTTTTCCATTTTGAAAAGTTTGGAAATTCTCTATCCAGCCTTCCCTATTCATAACAGCATGCAACATTGGAATATAGCTTAAGGAAATTGCAATGAACTATAAGGGAGCTCCAGCACTGAGAAACGTATTTATGTTTCAAGTCTTCCAAAGAGCAACAAGACAACCCTCCTACCTTGAGAAGGAATGAAATAATATTGTTATTTAGTTGCGACATCCTCCACCGAGAGAGAAAGCAATCCTAACTGTCAAGGAGAGCTGCAAAAAGAGGTAAATGCCAACACACACACGCACACTCGGCTGTTCCAGAAACTTCCCTCAAATCACACCAATTCATCACAAGCTCAACAAGGATTTGTCTGTCACTCTGTTAAGGCAGCCATTTCTAGAGCCCTGTCTATCTTTCTGCTGTGTGTGGCAGAGTGACATTTAGCACTGGGGAAAAGTGTGGGCGTACTGTGTGAAAAGGTCACAGGGCGTCACAACGGACTGGCCAGGCCACGCTCTCTCTCTGGATGCGTCCCAAATGGCACCCTATTCCCTATTTAGTCCACAGGGCTCTGGTCAAAAGTAGTGCACTATGTAGGGAATAAGGTGCCATTTGGGAGTTTTGAAATGCAGCCTCTCTCTTTCTGACACCACTCTCCACCCTCCAGAGCAGAGGGGAAAACGGGACCCCAGGCCAAGACACCCAAGCCTGGCTGCTCTCCATGACAACAGATGGCTGGAGGATCCAGCTGCAGTGGTGTTCAGCCCAGAGAGAGAGGGAGTGGGTCATAGGGAGGGAAATCTTCCAAAAGTTAAGACAACAAACAGGCACAACCAGAGATGGCTTCACAACAACGGTTGAGTTCCTGCTCAACTACATTGCAGACACATGCCAGATCTTACAACGCCTGGATAGATATTTACTCTATCCAGAGTGGCGCAGTGGTCTAAGGCACTGCATCGCAGTGCTAACTGTGCCACTAGAGATCCTGGTTAGAATCCAGGCTCTGTCGCAGCCGGCCGCGACCGGGAGACTCATGGGCGGCGCACAATTGGCCCAGCGTCGTCTAGGGTAGGGGAGGGAATGGCCGGCAGGGATGTAGCTCAGTTGATAGAGCATGGCGTTTGCAACGCCAGGGTTGTGGGTTCGTTTCCCACGGGGGGCCAGTATAAAAAAATAAAATAATATATATATATGTAATCACTAACTGTAAGTCGCTCTGGATAAGAGCGTCTGCTAAATGACTAAAATGTAATGTAAATGTATATTTAACATATCAGCTAAAAACATCATAGATATAGCAATCTGACGCCCGACTGCACTGTTGATGACGTGGCACGCAACCACTGGTTGATTGATGCTATGCAATGTAGATGTGCAGGGGCTCAACCATAATGTCCATCAGTCATGCTAACTACTGCCTGTAGCTAAATTGAACAACTATTTATCGTGGATGCTGTCACTACTGGCCTACATAGACAACTTAAGGTAAGAGGAATTTTACACAAACATGTCAATTAGATGAACCATCCCTTTAACTCTCACACACCACTAATATTTTTTCTCATTTTTATTCTCAAGAGCAAATGAGGAATCAATCAAATGTATCCTTACTTTGATTTCATACGGTCCTTCGTATGTCGCATGAGGGCACATGCCTGCACAAAACCTGAACACACGTTTCATAGTTTCACATGATTGTTGTTCCCTATAACCTACTGGCATCCACATGGGGAGTCTCGGCTCTAATGGCAGGTCACAGCCCCTGATTGGAACATAAGAGAGGCCAGGGAAACCCCGATTGTCAATCAGCTGTCCATCGTGACCCACAGGGGGCGGAGCTAAGGAGGAGTCAATCAATGTCAGCATAATTTAAAAAAAAGTACCTATAAGATATTATAGTCGTTAATATTTCACACTTATTTCCTTGATATTGTGTATGGTAAATATTTAATATGTAGGACTTATTGCTATAGGCCTAATGGGAATAAAGAAGATGTTCAGGGCTCATGTTCATAAAGAATCTCAGGATAGGAGTGCTGATCTAGAATCAGTTTTGCCTTTTAGATCATAATTAATATGATTATATGGATATGGGGGTACCTGATCCCAAATCAGTACTTATACTTGAGATGTTCCAGCAGATGTCCTCCTACCTTATCACTGTCCACAGTGTTCTGAGAAGTCCTGGAAGCGATGGAGATGGTGTCTGGCTGGCTGCTGCCGTCACCCTGGCTGTCTGCATCCTCACCAGCATCCCTAGACCCACACACACACACACACACACACACACACACACACACACACACACACACACACACACACACACATCAGTTAGAGGGGAAGTGTCTTATCTCTGTCTGTCTTGATGTTTCTTAAAGGTGATGTACAGTATCTTATCTTCAGCCATCCAGACCAAATCAAATAGAATGAGTCACACTGATTTATTAAATATATGAACAGAGATTAGATTTTTTTTTAATGTGGGAACTTTATAAATAGGCCTACTGACGGTGTTGCTTATGTGTGTGCCTGCCATGGCTGAGTGACAGGGAGTAGGGCAAAGTTGCCCCTAGACACTGATCTTGGGTCAGTTTTCCCCACTAATGATTAAGGATAGGGAGAGAGGAAGCTGATCCTAGATCTGTACCTAGGCGAAACTTCACCCGGAGCGAGTGCTGGGCCTACTCACCTCTTGCTGTTGTTGCGTGGCTTGGCCGGGGTTTTGGGCATGTGGATGGGCTCCTTCAGCGCCCCCTTGAGGTGGATGATCCTCTCCTGGATCACCTCCCGGATGTTCTTGATCCACTCCTGCTTTGCTTCAATACTGGATGCCTGGGGAGGAGAGTGAGACACAATCACACAGTGATTGACCTTTTTTTATCCTCTGGCCTCTGGCAAGAGAAGGTGTTGGCGTATAAAGGAGAAAAACGGCATTGTAACCCTGAAGGTGTTGCTCTGTAAATGATGCTTTCTGCAAGGCATGGCCCTAGGAACACTATATTATATGTCACTTTTTATGGCCCCTCAATTAGTGTGGGTATGGCAAATGACCTAAAGCTACCTTTCACCCTGTCCTGAACCATCTTGAAGATCAGTAGAAGGCAGCTTTAAAGGGACCTGGGCCCGTATTCAGAAAGTGTCTCAGAGTAGGAGTGCTGATTAAGGATCAGGTCCCACCTGTCCATATATAATCATATTCATTATGATCGAAAAAGGAAAACTGATCCTGGATTAGCACTCCTACACTGTGATGCTTTAGAGATCAGAAGAAACCTAGACCTACCTTGAGGACAGTCTTGTTGTCAGATGAGGGGGTCCTTCCAGCCCACAGGGCAAACTTACAGGGGTCCCCTTCAATGTGCTCCGTCACACCCAGCTCGGATGTCTGGATATGGAGCACAACAAGATTTAAAGTCTTGAACATTGTTTTCACCTGCTTTTTATGACTAGGAACCTTCCAAATCATCATGTGTTCAGTATATCATTGAATATCATTAGAAAAACATAATAGCAATGTTCCCTTTCTGATAAGGAGATGGAATTTAAGAGGAACTTTAAGATACAGTCGAAGTAAATCCCATCCAACTTTCCTCTATGTCCCTGTCAAAGGAGGTTGGTAGCACCTTAATTGGGGAGGAATAGGTGGAATGGTATCAAATACATCAAACGCATGGTTACTCGACTTGAGTGGGCTGAGTCACTGACGTGATCTTCTGTCCTCTCTCTCTCTCTCTCTCTCTCTCTCTCTCTCTCTCTCGCTCTCTCTCTCTCTCTCTCTCTCGCTCTCTCTCTCTCTCTCTCTCTCTCTCTCTCTCTCTCTCTCTCTCTCTCTCAGCCCTAGTAGGACCATACCTCAGGTCTACCTGGCCTGATGACTCCTGGCTGTCCCCAGTCCACCTGGTTGTGCTGCTGATCCAGTTTCTGCTGTTTTGCCTGTGGCTATGGAACCCCGACCTGTTCACCAGACCCCTGCTGGTCATCTATGAACTCTTCAACAACAATCTGGCCTTAATGGCCATGTACTGTTATAATCTCCACCCGGCACAGCCAGAAGAGGACTAGCCACTCCTCAGAGCCTGGTTCTAGGTTTCTTCCTAGGGTCCTGCCTTTCTAGGGAGTTTTTCCTAGCCACCGTGCTTCTACATCTGCATTGCTTGCTGTTTGGGGTTTTAGGCTGGGTTTCTGTATAAGCACTTTGTGACATCTGCTGATGTAAAAAGGGCTTTATACATGCATTTGATTTGATTTGACTTGGAACATCTGTTATTGGACATGCACATATGCATTCATAATTAATGCAAAGTGAGAGGAAGCTTTAATTTCCAGACCACTCCATCTGCTCTGGGTTTCATGTTTTCAACACCTGGATCTTTGTATCCTCACTCCCCAGCTTCCTCTAAAACACCCTGTAGCCTATTATACAAGCGGGCAATTACCACCCACCCACACACACACCGTAGTCCAGTCCTGCTTACACATAATGTACATTTTTGTAATTTAGCAGACGCTCTTATCCAAAGCGACTTACAGGAGCAATTAGGGTTAAGTGCCTTGCTCAAGGGCACATCAACAGATTTTTCACCTAGTCGGCTCGGGGATTAGAACCAGCGACCTTTCGGTTACTGGCACAATGCTCTTAACCACTAAGCTACCTGCCGCCCCGGCAATATCTACATAAAATGAGCTTTGTACGAATCGTAGCACTACAATAGCACAAATACTCTCACACCCATCCAACGCACACAGGTGCGTGCACACACACAATGGGGGCTTTACACATCTCAGCCAGCAAGCCAAGGCTGGATGCAGATCAAAGGGAATTGGATGGCTAACCTCTTGGCCCATAGTGTGAAGAAAACATCTCCACTGGCTAATAGCACCTGCCCTTCTGATCCAACTCCCCCAAGAGTCTCCAGGACACATGCAAGGCATCACATCATTACAGTATTATTAGGTTCACAGCTTGGCCAGCTGGATGACACATTATCTATATGAAAACACCAGTGCTATCTTGAGCGGAATTCCCTTGAAAAGCTGGAACTCCAAACAACTACATGACCGGTCTCATTCCTCAGATGTGTCACGTCAAGTGCAGCTTCTTTGCTTTCAAATTGACCTCTGACTTTAACTTTAACTGTAGAGCAGGTAGGGGAGGAGGGGAGAGGAGAGAAGAGGCGAGGAGAGAACAAAAGAAAAGATGGCTAGAAAAAGAGTCCAGTCCTAAGTCCTACCAGCAGTTTGTTCTTGAAGGCGTATTTGGTGCGTCCGGCCGAGTCCTTGATCTCCTTGCTGAACACCAGGGAGATCTCAAACAGGAAGAGATGACGGTCCCGGCCCTTCCGGATCAGAGACTTGGGATCCCACACCTGGAAAGTGTCCTGGATGAACAGCTCTCCCTGCACGTCCAGATTCTCATCGAAACCTGCCGGAGATCACATGGCTCTTTACATACAGCAATGCATCACAGACAGTAGACTTGGGGTCAATTTGAATTGAAGTCATTTTAAATTAACATTAGAAAAAAATGATCATTGAAAATAGATGCCATTTTATTTTGCGATTATTGAATTAGAAATGTCAGTTTACTTCCTGAATTGTCGGACTTCAATTCCAATTGCCCCCAACCCTGACAGAGAGACAACAACCTTACAGCTCTATACTTGTCTACTAGATAGTATTATTCCATGCTGTGCAGGTCTTACTGCACATTTCACAACTGTCCCTTAAAGGGATAAGGCTAGTTTGTTTACTTCCACATGAAGTGATGGAACACCCTAGCTAAGGAATTTAGAGATGTTTTAAATAGAATTCAGCACACAGGCCTCCCCTACTGTACCTTCCAGCATGGCGACATGCATAGCGTCGTTGGCCCTCTTGGGTACACTAAGCATAACTTCCAGGCCATCCTTGATCTCCCCCTTCCCCTCCTCACAGCAGGTCAGCAGCTCCTGAAACATTGCATTTGGACAGTTTTCATCCGTTCCAGTGCTGATAGGGTCGCTAAGTTTACAGTTCCTGGCATGCACGTTAAACACAGAACAATAATTTCTCCAGCTGGTTATTGTTTCATTAGAAAATAAGAGGGCTAAGAACAGTCATTTTGAGAAGACATGTCTGGAAATAGTTTCAGTGCTATTTCCTATGCCAGACACTGTAAAGGGGCTCTCTGTATGCAAGATACTGTCTGCATCCTAAATGGCACCCTATTCCGTAAGTACACTATATAGGATAGGGCATAGGATGCCATTTGGGATGCACCTAAGATACTGTGTGATGAGATTCGGACACATCACTAAGTGCATACTATGAACATATAACACAGAGCTAAGGGCCAACACACAGGCAGGGGAATCAGCTGTCTCTTGGGAAGTCACTAATGAGATTGATAAGAAAACCCACGTATACATACTGATGAGATAGAGAGGGAGAGACGGAGGTAGGAAGGAGAGAGAGAGAGAGAGAGAGAGAGAGAGAGAGAGAGAGAGAGAGAGAGAGAGAGAGAGAGAGAGAGAAGGGGAAGAATGCTTTGATGTTCCATATTTCCTGGGGGAAGTGGGCTGGATGATAAGAGCGCCCAGGTTTCCTCCTTGTCCGCATCACAAATGGCACCCTATTCCCTATATACAGTCATGACCTAAATTATTGGCACCCTTGATGAAGATGAGCAAAAAAGACTGTATAAAAAAAATAATACAAATACTGAGCTGTATTGTATAAAATAAAAAAAAATCAACAAAATATTATTTTATACTAATACAATTGCTCAGAGAAAGATATTTTGTTTAACTACTAATATTTTTTTCTCTCAAAAAGATACAGGTCAAAATGATTGCCACCCATTTTCAATACTCTTGCACCCTCCCCTGCTAGGGTAACGGCACTGATATCCTTTGTCTGTGCTTATGGACTGGTCTCTTCAATTCAAACCACAGGTTTTAAATGGTGTCCAAAGACTGAGATGGCCATTGCAAAATGTTGATTTTGTGGTCAATTAAACATTTCTTTGTGGATTTTGACGTGTGCGTCAGATTATTGTCTTGCTGGAAGATCCACTTGCGGCCAAGTTTTAGCCTTCTGGTAGAGGCAACCAGGTTTTGGGCTAAAATGTCCATGTACTGGGTAAAGTTCATGATGCCGTTGACCTTAACAAGCACCCCAGGACCAGTGGAAGCAAAATAGCCCCATAATATCAAAGATCCACCACCATATTTTACAGTAGGTATGGGGTTATTTTCATCCTTCTTTCAAAGCAAAATCCACCACTGGTGTGCTTGGCCAAAGAGCTCTATTTTCATTTGGGACACAGACCTTCTCTCCCATCATGTTCCCTACCTTGAGGAGAAGCTGGTACTTAGTGATCCTCTGCACTGGCTTGATAAGGTAGGAGGAGATGGAGTTGGCCAATCCGTGTCGCTGCTGGATTTCCTGCACGCAGAATTTATGACATCATGATGATTGAAACATATTGATGTTGACATTGACATACTTTAATGTATTCATAGCCTATAATCATGTGTTCGTCCCAAGTGGCACACCATTCCCTATGACTATATAGTGCACTACTTTTGACTGGAACCCTATGGCCACTGTTCATAAGTAGTGCACTGTAAAGTAAACAGGGTGCCATTTGGAACGGAAGCCATAAGACTGTGCACTGTAATGCAAAGAGACGAATGGTGGTAAGTAAGCAGAAGAAATATGACTCCTGTGCTTTAGCATTGAAATAAATGGTTCATTGGCACCACCTACAGGTAGAAGAGGACAGACAACTCATTCACTTACATCGAAGAAGCTTCCAGCATGCTCCAAGATGAGTTGGCTGGAATCCGGTTTGTTTTTACAGTAATTGACGTACATGTGGAATTTATCAGCCTGCAAAACAGTATGGGAAAATCCAGTCAAATTAAAATGACTAAACATCTATGTTCTTACATGCATATGGGTCTTTCTATAAACTAGGGTACCTGTGAGCATTTCTTGTAGTGGATAACTCTTTGAAGCTGTTACAAGGTCATTCATAATAATTTGCCTTTTTTTATGTGAATATATTAAGATATAAAAAAGGGGGAACATAGATACATTCAACATAATTCATGAGTTGAATCAAAACCTATGTTTAAACCCTTTCTCATACTTGAAGTCTTCACAGATTAGCCAGAAATCGTGTGATATAAAACACTACCTTTCTTTCCTTACATTTATGATACTGTTGTTTGTCTTTATATCATATCCTAAGCATTTAACAATTGAATTACACATCGAACTTGATCCTGTAATATTGCTGTCTGACACTTTTTTTGTATGGAGATCTCGGAAGTGCACTGTAACCTCGTAACATTTCACATCTCCCTATGTTATGGTGTGAAAACACATATCCAATACAATGTATGTGATTGCAAAATCAAATGCTTCCAACAGAGAGTAACTTTACCATAATTTAATAAAACAAAAATTAAATGGGGTTTTTCAATAATTATGCATATAGTTGTTTGATGCGCATTTGATGTCTAGCTGCACTGTAAGACTTTTCTGTAATTTCAACAGTAAAACACTGTAGAATGCACAGTAAAATACCATAAATGTGTTTTACAGCATTAATGCTGTAGATTGCACTGCATTATGGGTAAAATGCTGAAAAATACTGTTATTAACTGTAATTGTAAGCCTCCTGTAAAAATGACTATTGGATGAGACACACGAAGCTCAGACTATTTTAGTAAGTATCTTCTGAAGCAACTGTGAAGTGAAATAATATTTTCAGCATCTGCTGGGTAGGTACCTTGACTTGTTTATAAGTATCTTTATTGCTAGCCAACATTGAATTACTGCATGTTGTCTTAGCTAACCTAGCTAGCTACTGTAGCTAGTTGGCTAACGTTAGCTAGCTAGCCCATTAGCTCGCTAGTTAGTTAGCTTTAGCTCAAATTGACACAAGCCATTTAGGTCTGCTCTAAATTGCTCGTAAATATCTTGCTGTGCGACCTAGAAAAACATCACTCAGATAACAAGTATGTTTTCACCATTACTACAGAGAAATGGTTTGTTTCTAGCAGTTCAAAATACATGACCCATATATTACAGGCACAACGTTTTTTGCCCCCGGATTGACAGGCCGCATTTTACACAAACTGCTAAACCACCTTGTGGGCCGTACTCGCGAGCCACTAAAGCCGATGACTGGTGCACCGGTGTTGTATCGAGCTGCCTGCGACATAAGGTGCAGTGGGCAGCTGTAGCCTATCAGTGTCGCTGGCGGTAACTAGTAACGTGGCCAATTTTTCTCCCTCTCATGATTATATTTCAAGTAGGACGCCAGCCTACACAATAAATAACTAATATTGGTAGCCATCTAGATGTCACCGTGATATAGTCTACTAGTCAATAGGGAGCAGTGGAGGCTGCTGAGGGGACAACGGCTAATAATAATGGTAGGAATGGAGTAAATGGAATGGTATCAAAAACATGGTTTTCATGTGTTTGATACCATTCCATTTACTCCATTCCATCCATTATTCTCCATTCCAGCCATTAATAAGAGCCGTCCTCCCCTCAGCAGCCTCCACTGATGGAGAGAGCATGAACAGCAAAAACACAGGGACACAGTGTCCTCCTCAACCCTGTGTGATTCGGTTCACTCGGCTCTCAGCTGTGCGACATATGTCATTGTTTTTCAGGCCAGTAGTGTCCATACACCCGCTCCCCACTAACCATTTGTTTAATTTAAACAACATTGTTCCATATAATGTTACAGAATTAGTAAACCTGTTCAATTTAGCAGTAGTATGCAAACATTTGGTGGCACCCCCCCAAAAAATTGTAAAGTGGTTATCCCACTGGCTATAGGGTGAACGCACCAATTGGTGAGTCGCTCTGGATAAGAGCGTCTGCTAAATGACGTAAATGTGCCCTTGAGCAAGGCACTTAACCCTAATTGCTCCTGTAAGTCGCTCTGGATAAGAGCGTCTGCTAAATGACTAAAATGTAAATGTAAAGTCTGGTCAATCTGCGGTATTGTGTAGGCTATAGCAATGTTGTATTAGTTAGCTAGGCTTTGAAGTAGGTGTATCTAGCGGTCTTCTTTGTATTTGTTCAATGCCTCAATTGATTTAATAAACTATATTGGATATATGCTGTAGGTTCGAATCAACCCAAGATGATGAACCCTGAAGATGGGACAAAGTGGCCTAGAGGAAGCCAGCTGTTTTCAACCCCTACCTTGCCCCATTCTTCCAAGAGCTCACTGAGTTTGAATGAAGACCTCTAGTGAGATAAGTACACACACCCACACAACACCAGCTTAATATGCCCCTTATCACCTGTCTTTTTATCCACAGAGTAATAGCCCTGGTGCTCTCTGTCGCTCATTCTATTCTTTCTTTTTCTATGCTTGTCCTAATTAAGGGTGAGAAGAGCTAACAAATCAGAACTGAGGAGGATTGTCATGGAGCCCCCATGAGGAACACCTGATGCTGCGCTGACTTCTCTCTCCTGGATGTTCTCCTGCCCAACCTCCCGTAGTGTGTTTCACCGCCTCTGAACCCCCTTACCCTGAATAGAGTAGCCCCTGATCATAGATTTGTACCCAATACATATTTTAACTCCATCTCCCTCTCTCTCTTCGTCTCTCTCTCCCCCACACCCAGGCACACAATATCGTTTTTAGATTAGTGTTGTAATAATGCTCTTATTTGGTTACATATGTGTTAACTGTTGTTACTTCTATTGTCAATTATGTTGTTTATTTGTTGTTACCAATTGGAATAAATGTATTTTATGTACAAATGTATTGATATTCTTACATTTAGTTTTCAAGGAAAAAGTCACTGTAAATTTACAGCATTATCCCAGCACCAGAGTTGCCAGCTTAATACTGTAATTTTACTTTACAGCAGAAATGCTGTAATATTTTTCACAGTACTATTTCCTTACTGCAAAACATTACAGCATCCCTGTAAATTTACAGCAGGGATGCTGTAATATGTTTTTTACAGTAAAGAAAATAGAACTGTAAAATAGTCAAGTGATAAAGAGCTAGCGTGATACCGCACGCGATTGAACAAAAGCCAAAGTGTGTGAAATAATGTTGATCTCGAAGCTTGACAGAAATGTTTTGTGTCTATGTTGTTACGGTGTTCAAGATAATTAGCCTATGTCGTGGACAACATTAAGTCAAGATTCCCCTAAAATGACGGTCTGTGTACATTAAAACGGAGCAATCGGGAACGTGAAAACTGTCAGTTTTTTCCGTTTTTGAATAGAAATGTGGAATGCCAGTCATTGGTCATGTCACGCCCTGGCTCTGGGGACTCTTAAATGTTGAGCCAGGGTGTGGATTGTCTATGTTTAGTTTTCTATGTTTTTGTTCTAGATCGTGTTGATCTATATTGGCCAGGGTGGTTCCCAATCAGAGACAGCTGTAGCTCGTTGTCTCTGATTGGGGACCATACTTAGGCAGCCTGTTGGCACCAGTTAGGTTGTGGGATCTTGTTCCGTAAGGTTTGTTTTGTGTTAACCTAGGACTTCACGTATCGTTTGGTTTGTTGTTTTGGTTCGTGTTCAGTACAAATAAAATGTACGCTTATCACGCTGCGCCTTGGTCCGTGTCTTCAGTCAATGATCGTGACAGAAGATCCCACCAAAAGAGGACCAAGCAGCGTGCCCAGGAGGAGAAGATTGTGATGTCTCAGGTGGGCAAATGGTGGTCTTGGGAGGAGATATTCGCGGGGAAAGGGCCATGGGCAGAGGTAAATGCCCAGCCAGGAGAGGAGAAACGGCGGGGCAGCAGGAGGCAGCTACAGGGCGAATCTGCGGACTAGGAGAGGAGGCCACCAGGTTACGGGGGCTATTGGTCATGAGGGAGCAGGAGTTAATGGGTCAGAGGGAGGAGCTACTGGAGGCGATAAGGGAGAAGGAGAGTGTAGAGGCACGGCGAGAGGAACTGGTTAGGCAGCAGAGGGAGCGGAGGTTTATAAGGAAACCCAGTCCCGCTCCCCGCACTAAGCCAGTGGTGTGTGTTCCCAGTACGGCCCGACCCATTCCTGCTTCCCGCACAAGGCCAGTGGTGCGCGTCGCCAGCCCGGTCCGGCCTGTTCCTGCTCCCCGCACCAAGCCTGTGGTGCGCGTCGCCAGCCCGGTCCGGCCTGTTCCTGCTCCCCGCACCAAGCCAGTGGTGTGCGTCGTCAGCCCGGTCCGGCCTGTTCCTGCTCCCCGCACCAAGCCTGTGGTGCGCGTCGCCAGCCCAGTCCGGCCTGTTCCTGCCCCTCGCACCAAGCCAGTGGTGCGCGTTGCCAGCCCGGTCCGGCCTGTTCCTGCTCCCCGCACCAAGCCTGTGGTGCGCGTCGCCAGCCCGGTCCGGCCTGTTCCTGCCCCTCGCACCAAGCCAGTGGTGCGCGTCGCCAGCCCGGTCCGGCCTGTTCCTGTCCCTCGCACCAAGCCAGTGGTGCGCGTCGCCATCCCGGTGCGGCCTGTTCCTGCCCCTCGCACCAAGGCAGTGGTGCACGCCGCCAGCCCGGTCCGGCCTGTACCTGCTCCCCGCACCAAGCCTGTGGTGCGCGTCGCCAGCCCGGTCCGGCCTGTTTCTGCTCCCCGCACCAAGCCAGTGCTGCGCGTCGCCAGCCCGGTCCGGCCTGTTCCTGCTCCCCGCACCAAGCCGGTGGTGCGCGTCGTCAGCCCGGTCCGGCCCGTTCCTGCTCCCCGCACCAAGCCAGTGGTGCGCGTCGCCAGCCCGGTCCGGCCCGTTCCTGCTCCCCGCACCAAGCCAGTGGTGTGCGTTGCCAGCCCGGTCCGGCCCGTTCCTGCTCCCCGCACCAAGCCAGTGGTGCGCGTCGTCAGCCCGGTCCGGCCTGTTCCTGCTCCCCGCACCAAGCCAGTGG